ATAGGCAAGGGATTGATCCCTATTGTGGGCCCCATCCTTCAAGATGGCGAGTTCTCTTGAGAGGAGGCTGGGTCAACTCCATGCCAACCAGTGGGAGTCAAGGTTATTTGCCTTGGAATTGTTGTTCCCACCTCAAGGGTTACCCAGCATTATGGACTGTGCCTGTCTTAGGTTGTCCCATCTTTTGGGATCTTACCCATCATTGACTACCAGCCCTCTAAGAGTGAGTCTCTTGGTATGGTCTGGCAGAGGGAGAGGCAGTGTATCAAGCTTTGGCCTGTGCAAAGGCCTCTTAAGGGGCTAAGAATTCAATAAAAGCCAATGGAGCGGGGTCATCCCATCTGAGGTAATGTTGGGGATTAGGGAGTGGCAAGTTCTAGGCATTGGTCTCACAGTCTGCCAACAGGAGTGTATATCGCAAGGCGTTTCCTGTGGCTCCGGCAGTCAGGCCATTGTCTCAGGTCCGTTGCATGGTTGTTACATAAGACTTTATACCTATGCTCAAGCCTTAATTTTCATATCTCTATTATTATAGGTTGGTAAGGGCAAGGAACAGTGGGTCCTTGTTTGCAGAGACATGCCTGGCAAGATCTGGAGGTGGGGCAACAGCTAACTGAACAAGAGAAATATGAGTTTTAACAAAATTATCAAGACCCTTAACAATGCAGAACTCAAGAGTTACCAGTTACCAGTAATGATGGCACACATAATAAGGAACACAAAGGTTTTCCTCTGGATTGAGGACTTAGCTTAGCTAATGTCCCTGTTTGCGGAGAGAGATGTTCGAGGTCTCCCCAGGTTGGTGGCTTTTGTGGTCTGTGAGATTGGTCTCTCAATGGTTGAGAGGTGCGCTGCTTCGTCCCAGGGCTGCCATCTCCGGGGTCGGTGGTTGTGGAGGGAGGTTTTCCATCACAGGCAATTCTGATGTTCTGGGCTGTGATCCATATGGGGGCTGGAACATTATCTGGAAAGACACAGCATAGCCTCACCCTTGTGTTAATAATAGGTGTGGATCTTTCCATTCACTTGGGAGATGGTCCTTCCATCTCACCATGGGGGCAGGAGTGGGCTGAGTGAATGCCACCCAATGCTTTATTGCTGGTGAGAGGCCATTGGAGTCAAATTTTAGAAAATTTAATACAAATAGAGCTCGTTGTATAACAAAATTGGGGTCCTTATAGCTGGGCCCTTTATTATTGTCTTCCCCTATCTTCTGTATTTATTTAATGAGTGTTTGGCGGGAACATTCAATAATCCCTTGACCCTGAGGATTGTAAGGGATACTAGTTATATGCCTAATATTCCAGTCAGAGCAAAAATGGCTGAAGGTAGCAGAAACATAACAAGGACCATTATCTGTTTTTATTTGCCATAAGGACCATGGCATATTTGACAGTCCTTATGGCATGAGAAGCCATCTCACCAGAGCAGGCCAACGCAAAATGGACGTTGGAATAAGTGTCAATAATATGATGGATATACTTGAGCTTGCCAAAAGGAGAAAAATGAGTGACATCAATTTGCCATATCTTGTTGGGGCCAAGGCCTCTAGGGAGAGTTCTGGAGGGTTGTAATGGCCCCAGAGGTGAAAAAGGGGCACAAGAGGAGCATGCACGGACCAAATGTTTACAGCTCTGAATCAGCAAGGTAGGGAGGAGCCTATGTATAGCTTGGGGAGAAAGGTGGAAGTGGGCGTATAAGTCTCTAACTTGTTGAATAAGGGTGGGGTCTAGGGTGGTGCTCAGGACCAGTTTTTCAATAGCAACAAGAAGAGCATGCACAGACCAAATGTTTACAGCTCTGAATCGGCAAGGTAGGGAGGAGCCTATGTGTAGCTTGGGGAGAAAGGTGGAAGCAGGCGTGTAAGTCTCTAGCGTGTTGAATAAGGGTGGGGTCTAGGGTGGCACTCAGGACCAGTTTGTCAATGGCGGCATTGCCCTCTGCCAGAAGCCCTGGGAGATTGGTATGAGACTGCAAGTGTTGAATATACCAAGGGGCTGAGCGCTGCTCGAATAATATTTGGTTTAGCTATTGCTTCTGTGGAATCACCACCCTGCTCTGTGCCTGCTGCCATTGTCTTCTGGAGTGGGGCTGGCTCAGGTCCGCAAGGGCTGCTCCAGCTGGTTCTATGGCTGGCCCCAGCATGGCTGTGCTCCTCTCGGGAGCAGCATGGCCTATGGTGCACCACTCACGGGGAGGAGGCCGCCACCCCGGGGCTGCTGGATGCACCCGAGCCTGCCCATCTTGGCCCAGCCTCCCACCCTTGCCTGGTGCCACCCCCATGCCTGAGCACAGCCGCCTCAGTCCCCAGAAATCTCTACCTTCCCTCCTCGGCCTTGAGCATCCAGAGGAGTGGCTGGGGGTCTGCTTCCTTGAAATCAGTGTAAGATGGTGGAGGGTAGCCACCGCTCTGTAATGGTGGAGCAGAGACAATCTTGACTTCCTGTTTTTTATCAGGGGAGCTCTCAAAACCCAATTCCTCATTTTTTATATCATCATTAACAGTCAAGGTTTCATCAGAACAAGAATCCATTAGTTTTGTTTTAACTGGAAATGCCTGGGACAGGCCGTTCCCAGCATCCTTTTGTTGTATTTGCTCATCTACTTTAATAGGAGATTGTCCTGTTCAGGGGCTTTGGGGGGAACTCCCTGAAGCAAGGCCAGAATGGCAGTCACAATGGGGTAGAACAGCCCAGACTGTGGGCATCCCTCCCTGACTTCTCTATGCCGGGCCAAAAATAAAATGCAAGCCCATTGTTCAGGATCCCAGCAACGAGAATCTGTAAACCAGGGGGCAAGAGCTAGTACTTCATCTAAAACCTTAATTACATCCTTTCCTGATACCCTAATTTGCCTACTCCTGAGGAGAGAAACCAGTGCAGCAGCGTAGGGGCTGGCAGCAGCTGGGTGACTATTCGCCATATCTGAGGTCACTCACCCCGCAAGGCATACCCAAAGGGACTCAGGAACCTTCAGGAACCTTTCAAGGAGATGATCAGTGAAGACAGGAGTGGCACGCCCAACCAAAGATAGCAAGCTGGAAGAAAAAGCCGAGCCCAAGGTGTTACAGCTCAGAGTGTTACAGGTCTGTGGGGAGGGGGTCCCAGTCCCACATTTTGGGCGCCAGGTGTGGTCACCGGCTGTGACTGCTCTCCTCCAGCTATGGCCGCTCTCCTGCTCTTTTAGTTCCTCCAATCAGTCGTCCGGTCCAGACCCCAGGGCTAGTGAGGAGTCTGCACCAGCATTGCTGCATTCAGGCACAGGAGACCAGGTTCAGTGACACAGATCTGCTTTATTGCAAGAAAGTATGGGCTTATATAAGGGTAATAGTCCAATCACAACACAGCATATGGGATCCCTTATTAGCATGGCAGACTAGTATCCTATTACACTCTAGTGGGCTAGATGCCCCATTAGAAGCAATGCATTCCAGCATGATAGGTATGTAAGGCAAAAGGCAAAATTAGTCACAAGATTTTCCACAACAAACCAAGATAAGCTTTCATCAAACAATATGAAATAGAAAACTTTCTGGTTCCAAGCCTGATGACCTGAGTTCAATCTCTGGGACCCTCATGATAGAAGGAAAAAACTGATTCCTTCAGGTTGTCCTCTGACCTGCACATGCACACCATAGTATGCACACAAGAACATGCATAATAAATAAACATTTTTTGGTTGGGCTTTTTGTTTTTTGAGACAGGGTCTTCCTGTAGCCCCAGCTGGCCTGGAACTCACGATGTAGACCAGGCTGGCCTTGAACTCTGCCTCTGAGTGCTGGGACTAAAGGTATGTGCCACCACATCCAGCTGTAAATGTAATTTTTGACTGAGATATGTTCGACATTCTTTTCCATCAGAGAAATGCAAATTAAAATAGCATTGAGATTCCATCTGACCCCAGTCAGAATTACTATCATTAAGAAAACAAATAACAAATGCCAGCAAATAACAAATGCCAAAGGGAATCCTTATATATTGCTGGTGGGGATGTAATTAGTTCAACCACTGTGGAAACCAGTATGGAGGCTCCTCAAAAGACTGGAAGCAGAAGTGCTGTGTCCCCAGCTGTGCCACTCTTGGGCACACAACTGCAGGACTCTAAACTATGGGCATGTGGGGATCTCGAGGTGCCAGCTGCTAGCGTGGCGCCGGTCTCCTGTGCGCACCTGGGAAGCGGCGGGTCCCGCGGCTCATCTGCTCTGCGTTGCTGGCGGGTCCCTGCTTCTCCGCGTCTCTGTGGGTCTCTGCTACCAGGGCTGGCCGGGTCGAGTTCCGCCCCAATTTCACCCATGCACTCTCTCTCTGAGTTCAGGACCCGTCAGCTGCCGGGTCATGAGGAGAGGTGCGGGACGGCTGAAGCTGGATTTCCGTGAGTCGATGATGGAAGGATAGCGCCCCCCGGGGAGGCTGGATCATAGGCAGTAAGACACAGAACTCAGCTCAGTCAGTGGTACAGCCCCTTTATTCAGTGACTTAGCTCGGCTCCAAGTCTTAGTGATCCAGCTCCGATTATTGAGGGGAAACCAGGATATTTTATACTATGGGGGTGGTAGTAAAAACCTTAGCTGATAGGTACTCCTGGAATGCCCCAGTTACATAGGGCGGTGGGCTCCTATCAGGCTATCAGACAACGCCTGATTAAAACCTGGTAGCTCCTGTGCCGGAGGGCATGTATCTTGTGACGGGCATTTCAAAAGTAAGTCAGGGAGGAGAGCAGAAGGCGCCCCACTGAGAAGGGGAGTCTCCCCAATAGCGCCGAGCCAGCTTGTGGCTATCCGGACATGAGGAGACTGCTACCCTAAACAGCAGGGGTCCCCAACACTTTTTTCTCATTTATCTGTTTTGTGTATGTGTGCACATGTGCACTCTGCAACAGCACCTGTGTAGAGATCAGAGGACAACTTTCAGGAGTTGGTCCTCTCCTTCTACTATGTGGGTTCCAGGGATCAAACTTAAGTCATCAGGCTTGGCAGTAAGCACCCTTATTCACTGAGCCATCTTGCCAGCCTACGTTGTTTTTTTATTGTTAAACTAAAAAGTTCTTATGTCTAAGCCTACTTGAAGAGTGTCATTGTTGCCCATTGTCTGATGTTGTCACAGTATATTGACAGTAACAACATCAGGTTTCATTGTCATGTGCTGGGTTATTGGGCTAAATAGCCCCAGGTGTCTACTCACCAGCCATCTGTTTTGTACATGGCATGGCTCTTCACGATTGCCATATATCACAATGGAAAGATACAACTCCAAATGGTAAAGGGTGGCCATTACTGCTCTGATGAGGCACAGTGTTGACTGGGATCTATCAGTGCTTTATTTCTCTTGGTACCACTTCCGGGGCAGGAAATGGTAGCAAATTCACACCCTTCACACTGAGGCATGTACTTGTGTTTTATCCAGAAGGTGCTAACAGGAAAAAGAACTTGCCCCCCAAAGTGCCTATAACTCCAATGCCAAGGTATTCCATCATGGAGACTCCAGTACTGAAGAAAGAACTGGACAGGTTGGTGGTGGTCTTCTGGGCTTTCTTGTGTGTGATCACCTGTATATACCCAGGCTCAGCAAGCCTGGAAGTGAAGGATCCAGCCCCTGGCTCTTCAGGTCTGGTGCTGCGAGGGAAGTTCTGCAGAGGGTGTGGCTGCTAGGGGCAGGGTGGATGGCTGAGCTCTTCACACTGTTCCCAGATTTGGGTCCCAAGAAACAAACCAATAAGATTTCTGTGGGTTATTCATCAGGTAACAGGTTTCTGTGTTCTACACTGGTGGAAATGGGAACCTATCCATACCATCTGAGTGGTATTTTCATTTTCTAAAAGAATTTGAAAACTTATCATGTCCCAGCAAATGCTGCTCTTCATTTTGGGCACTTGAGGGAGTCACTACTTCCACCACTGTGCAGAACACTATGGAAACATCTGTGGAATGGATATCCTTTAGGTCAAGCTTAGTTAGCATGCAGACAGATACTCAGTTTTGAATGCTCCTGAAAGTCAGGCATCTAACGTTTTGATACCATGAAGGCACACATTTACTCTTTGCTGACATACCAAAGTAGCACAGAGTATGTAGACAGAACTGCAATGTTGGACCCTGAAGTTGACCTATTTCTGCATGCAGGTTTGGAGTCCGTGCTCTGCCCAAACGCCAGATGATTCTAAAACTGAAGGAGATTTTCCAGTACACTCACCAGACCCTGGAGTCAGACTCTGAAGATGAGATCCAGTCCTCCCAGGTGTCCCCAGGAGTCCCTTGCAGCCAAGCCCCTGCCATCAAGTCCAACAAGCGATCAAGGTCAGGAGGTTACACCCAGCTCAAGACCACTGCAGGTCTTGGCACTCAAAGGTCCAAGGGTTCCACTAAGACCAAGGGCCCTCAACATCGAAAGAAGCAGCTCAGTGAAAGCATCCCCCACCCAAGCAGGTCACCAGCTGGGGAGCCACCTCCAGACCCTAATGGCAATGCCCAGCTCCCAGCCTTCCAAGAATCCATCGCTGCCTCTGTGGATGGCAGTGACAGCTCCTTTGGCTCTCAAAGGTAATGAGTGGGAACAGCGGGGTCAGTTACATCATGGGTCCTCTGGGCAGTGGGTCTGAGAGCAGTCATTGATGAGGCCGAATGACCAAGTCCAAAAGCCCATTGACTTCTGGGCTTCTCTGTAGGAAGCCCAGGTGGTTTAAAGGTTCATTCCTTGGCCCCACTGCAGGCCTTTAAAACCCTGTTCCTTCCCCACATGCCTGGGTGTTCTTGGCTGAGGGGGGATCTCACTCAGGCTGGCACATCTAGGGAACCCAAGAACCAGAAAGGCCTGTGGGACACCCATCATGGAGTCCTGTCACCCTGGGGGTCATCATTGCCACATACTAGCCCCACAGAACCATGAAAACACATGTCTTCCCTCAAAGAGGCTCCTAGTCTTGGGGGCTGGAGAGAAAGGGTGTCACAGAACATCTGTTCTTTTCAGCTCCTCCTGTGAGTTTGGAGCTGCCTTGGAGTCTGCAGGTGAAGACAAGGAGGGTGAAGAAGGGGTCGGTGCATCACAGGCAGCCATCCAGGCAGCCAACACAGAGGAGACAGTGAGACGCTATATCTGCTCCAAGCCAGCCCTGTACCGCAAGGTACTGATGTACCAGCCCCTCGAGCTAGCTGAGTTACAGGCTGAACTGAAACAGGATGGCATCCACGTGGCCATGGGCAAGCTGCTGGACATCCTGGATGCTCAGTGCATCACCTTCACGACTGCAGCAGCCAGAAAGGAGAAGCTGAAGCAGAAGAGGCGGCAGCACTTCGGCCGAAAGAAAAAGGGAAGGGAATGACAGGCCCCACCCTACTAGCCACCTGCCAGAGGACCTGAGCACCTAGTGCAAATCAGGCCTCCATAATCATCTCTGCCTTGGGACCTCAGCCTGTGTCTGTGGAAAGGACAACAGCCCACTCATCCTTCTCTGGCTTCCAGCAGCTGGTCATGTCACTCAATGAATTCAGAGCCAGACCCCTCCTTTTTTTTGCCCCAGCAGGGTTCTCACCTGTGTCTTCCTGAGAGGCAGTGTACCACACAGCTGGCCAGGGCAAGGCCTGATGCTTCCCCACCTGTCATTCTGTGTCCATTACACCCAAGCACAACTGCCCCATGAGGTGTTCTGAGACGGGCATCAGGTCCAGCCTGCCTTCCCAACACTCAAACCAATCCCAGCCACACAGCAGTCCAGGCCTTCATGGGCTTCCTGTACCACCACAGCACAGGTGCTCTTCTGACCCAGTGCCTGCCCAGATATTTATCACTGTCACCAGCATCCTCCAAGCAGGACCGCGAATAAGGGCCCAGCCCAACTCTGAAGACACCCCCCTCCAAGCAAGCATGCTCTTTGCAGGCTCTACGTACATGTGGTAAAGCCTCCTTGACTCCACAGCCATGTGGGCCCTGGGGAGGGCCAGAGAAGAAAAAAGTTTGGGTCTCCATGGCCTGTGAATGTCCTTATCTGTTTTAAATACAGTGTGGTTGGTTTTATATGATGTGCAATAAAAACAAAGAAGGCTTTATAGATGCTACTCCAGAAAAGTCATGAGGGATACACTCTGAGCTTGAGCCCCACTGCCCTCCTGCCTACATGCTTTGGAGCCTTTGCACCTGTTCTTATCTCAGGGGTGCCAGGCCTAGGCTTGCCATTTCTCCACTTAACCTTTGGCTCCTAGATAACAGACACAGGTATTCATTTATTCCTGCTTTCACACTCACCTTTTCTATGTCTATTTTTTATTTTAAATTTTTTTATTTTTATTTTATGTGTACGAGTGTATTGCCTGCATATATATGTAGGCACACCTGTGTCATGCAATGCCTGCAGAGGTCAGAAGAGAATGTCAGATTCCCCTGGAACGGGAGTTGCAGATGGTTGTTAGCCACCATGAGGGTGCTGGCAATCAAACCCAGGTCATGTAAAAGCAATCAGTGCTCTTAACCTTTGAGCCATCTCTCCAGCCCCGGAAGGTTTTCTTTTCATGAATGGTTATAGACATTCATATTTTCATTTCTTCTTAATTTTGGTAGCATAATATTCTAGGAATAGATTCATCTTACTGAAGTTTTAAATTTTGTTAGCATATCGTTGGCCATTATATTTTATCTATTATCTGTTACATTTGTTTTTACTTGTGTGTGTGTGTGTATATGTGTGTTCATGTTTGTGTGTGTAGGTGTCTTGAAAGTCCAGTGGTGGCAGCCGAGGTGAAGGGGGAGGGGGATTTATCTGAGGATCTTTGGGAGCTTTTGAAGTCTGGGCGTTAATATCTGGGCTTGTTAAATCAGCAAGAGGGGGGTAAGAGTTAATTTTGTTGATGGGTGGGTTTTGTTTGACTTGGTCAAATTCTATTTTTGGAGCTGTTGAATCTGTTACTGGACAGTCTGCAGGGGATTTTTATCGCTTAAAACCTCTCCTTTATTATTTTCTGGTGCTTGTAAGATTTCCTCAATCTTAGGTGGGTTTCCTAAGCATTG